TCTGGTGTCTTGCCTAAACTACGATGATTTGTCACAAACCTTCCGCCACTGGCACATGGGGAGTGAAAGAGATGCCACGGCTTTGATCCACCTCCGTGCGGATAGACTACAAGCTCCATAGGCTCCCGGCCCGAAGGATACCAGGAGTAAACTCGAAGTACTCCTGCCCGGTGCCAAGAAGATATCGGGTTTGGGTTGTGGAAGGAATCTCACACCAGTGGGTCGGTGGAGATGGACATTGATGTAAATTGACACACTTAGACTCTAGTGAATCCAGAAATCGACGTGCACGTGTTTGGCCATATTGGCCAGGTAGCCCAGGGCCTTTGGGAATCAAGTAGAACATGCCTCTAGCAGGATCTTGCCTAATGGCCTAATCGATTCTCTGAAAGTTCAAAACTTGAGAGAAAACATGAGAAAGCAAACTCAAATTGTAGATAGGAGTTGCAGCTCCCTTGGTCACGTAGGAACTGACACCTTCGCATCCACCACCGTCACGTAGAAGCTCCGCCGGAGCTCCCGCACCTCAGAGTAGACGAGGATGGAGGATGAGACAGTGGATGTTTCGACTGATGAGATCTTTGGGTTGACTGTATAAGCGCTGTTTTTGGCTGGCAAATTGCCAAGGTACGTGGCTCATTGGATGTTTTTTAGGTTGGTTTAGGATGGAATGGGTCTGAGCTGGAGTTCCCTTGTTCACCTTTGACAACTCAGGTGACTTTCTGCTGGGTCATTGCAGTGAGCAAATTATTGAGGCAATTTGTCTCTGGACATGTCGCTTGTTTTCGACCTGGATCTGCTGGAAGCACTGCACCAAATAATTACAGTAAAACAAACTTGTTTCACCACTACAATGTAGTCACTACAAGTTTGGGGCATTCCAAAAAAAGGTCTTCATGTCGTACAGGTCTGATGCCTCAAACACAAAACTGCAATAGTTGCCTTAGCTTGGTTCAGTCATGCTTCAACAAAGATCCTGAATCTAATTGTGGAAACACTCGAAATGTACTAAACTGTGCTAAACCAGTGCCCTTTCAACCATCTCAAGTTTCTAGTAGTCTCCCCACACCCCCCCAAAACAAATGACAAACCTGAGGCGGATCCTCCCAAGCTGTGGCCCTACCTACAAGCCGAAAACCACCAAAAATCGTACCACTGGCTGCAAAGTGCCCTCACCAAATGCCCAAGCATTCTTTCCGCTGTTCCACAAGTGTCTCCTCCGAAAACCTCCCAGACCCGGGTCCCGGCGCCACCGGGCTTTTTCCAGGTCCCGCCAGGTCCCCAGACCGCCGCCAGGCCGGCCATGCCGGCTCCCAGCACCAGAACATCTGGGAACCAACAAAGGCAGCGGCATGTCTATCCAACAAAGCAAAGGATCTCACCCCTGGAGGGTCATGATGGTTCGTGTGGTTCAAATTGCAAGCAGATGGGGGATTAGCCAAGAAGAGTGTCTTTAGGACAAAAGCAGAAATGTTTCACATGGGTTATGTTGCGGGATACAGCACAGATTTTAAATGAGTCTGCCGGGGTGTATTCCAAGCTTCTCAAGCTTCAATCATAATGTGTTTAAGGATTGGAACAAATTATTTCATTGATGGCATCCACCTCAAACGTCACTCAAAACGTCACCGGGCTCCCTTGCGACGCTTGGAGGCCTCAAGCACCTGAAATTACAGGGATGGAGGGATGATGAAATGCTCTCTTGCTAAGTTGGCGCTCCAGCATGAGGCATATTCAAAAGCATCCTCCTGGTGCCAATGCTCACCTTCTGCAATTGTGTTTTGGTCGCTCGCCTCTATTCCCCTTTGCCTTCCTTCCTAAGGCTCGAGCTACCTCCTCCTCCATGCGCCAACTTCTCGCCCATGAATCACGGGCGTCCAGCGGTGTCGGGCGAGCGAAGGAGACCCCAGTGTCGGTCTCAGTGGCCTTGATTCTGAGTTCTGTGGCTTTGTGGTTGAGTGTTCCATGGGTGTTATAAGAAGCCAAAGACTGAAGATATCCAAAGTGTTGCCTGGTTTTGTATGCGCCTGTTGAGCCTGATGCCAGTTCATTGGTGTGTTTGAATCTTCCCCAAGGCAAAGCTCTTGTCCAATGACTGATGGGCACTTGATGCGTGCAGGCTTTGCTTGTCGACAAGAATGCTCTGGCAGGCTTTCGACAAGACTTCCTCAGTAAAAGTGTTGTCCGCAAGTCCACAGGTTTTCCACGCAATTTCTTCGTCACTAAGTCCTGGACATATCACTCTCTACCCACAAGTGGGTTTGGATGGTAATGATGATTGATGGACCCCCACCAGGTGGCTGATGGTTTGGTGAGGGGTATGAGCTCTCTTGGTTTGGTCGAATGTTCCAGTAGGTCTAATGCGCTGTCTAGCTAGACATCTGAGTCTGATGGTATTCCGCACCGAAGATCAGGTGCTGGTGCTGATCGGGAACGGCGAAAATGTGGGCAGTCCACAGTTCATGCATGAAGATGGACACCTCCTTCAACACATATATATATATGTCAATAAAAAAGAGTTCTCCAACAGGCAACTCTCCACGTCCATGCTTGTTCTCCAGTCCAAACTTACAGTAATAACTAGCGGAAGGAGAAACGCCTTTACAGGTCTGACAGGTTCTGATATCCAGTCGCTCACGGTTGAACTCCCACAGCAAGAAAATATCCCAAAACTGTTGTCTAACAGTCCGTGTTAAGCAACTGTAAGAACTTCACCGCGGCCAAGGGGTGGTCATGCACCTCATCTCCATCGAAGCAGTCAACCTCACTGCTCAGGACCTTCGGGATCGCCACGCACGGAAGAATGTGTGGATCAGCGCCCAGTGCTAATGGATATTAAGATCTGGGCATCGCCTAACGACAGATTCGGATGTCTTGAAAGTCTGATCCCCAGTGACATTGACAAACAGCTGAGGTGACACCAACTTGCATCCTTCCTGATTACTATTGTACTATTTACAAACGCATTGCTATGAGATCGGGCAAATCCACGGACTTTGCCAAATCGTTTTGCTGAGTTGGGGTGGCAATTGGGTGTCTTGGGCATGGTGCATCAGGCATATTATACCCCGCTCACTTCGCCGGTGACCAAATGCCCCCCAATTGACTTTTGTGCACCACTCGCTCTGCGCACACAAGCATCGCTGTCACAAACGCACAAAATGACCGAGACCAAGCAATAGTGCCCGCATTCCCTGTTGCACATCACCAACCATCCTTCGTCATCAAGCAGGACCCCTGCCTGGTCCCAAAGAACAAGCAGCAACAAGGCCTTAACAGTGAAGAATGGCATAGACTTCTCTGGCATAGGGCAGGGGAACAAAAGGCTCCAAAAAAGGACGAACAGCAAAATCGAGGTCATTCCTCCTGCCTTCGACCTACCCCTCCACTGCGTTCTGAGCCACTGTGTGTGTGTGTGTGTGCTGCCTCCTAAATCACAGCACCAAGGGAACCATGACCAACATCGGCTTCATGAGACTCAAACAAAATGCAACAAAGCCTGTAAGTGACCCAAATTCACATCAACAATCATGTCTACAGAGTCTACTGCAAAGAACCTTGCACTGTCCTTCCTCGGCCCTCTCTGATCCACTCGTTTTGCAGAATCGCACAGATGTTTGGGTTCCCACCCGCATGGGGGCTGGTGTCAGCGCATCGACCTGGAAAGTACGAGGAGCAACCAAACCGAAAAAAGGAAACTCCTCAAATTTGACCCTCAAATTCATCTGGTCAAGCACCCATCTGGTCAAAGACAGATGTGTTCCAACCCTCGCTCGGCATGGGCATGGGTGTTCTCTGCTGCCCTTTTTGTTTAAGAAAGAATAGAGGGGAGTAATGTAGGTGCGGTGAATGATGGCTTCTTATCTACGTATTTCTGGGAAAAGCTCCACCACCTGTGTCTTGCCTTAAAATCTGGAAGCCAGTGAGAGTTTCTGTTGTGCCCCCAGACTGCCCTGAATAGGACTACTCACCTTGCAGTGTTGTCTCCAATCCCTTGCCAGGCCTTTGGGAAGCAAGGGTTTCTTCCCGGAACAAACAAATGGAGCTTTGGAATCAGCTATGTTTTTGAGCCGAGACGAACAGGTTGACCACAGTGATCTCTCCATCTGAGGTGGAGCAGCCTTCCCTCCGGGGTGGCGCAAAAGAGGAAGAGAAACAAGCAGAATGAAGAGCCCATAAATCCACGACCATGGGTCACTCAGAACTCCTATATAAACATGGGTGACTTCTTAGGAACGCTTCATTCTCCCATGCTTCTGTCAATTGACCAGAAAAAATCATCAGGCACTTGCCAGGAAGGAAAGCACCTCGTTTCAAGAGAATAGAGCCGTTCCGCAACTTGCAGGTGTCTTCCATTTGCAACAATTCTACGGCGTCGATGGTTTTGACAGTTCCCAGCTTTTTGCAGGCCACCGGGGTTATTTACAGTATCACCTTTGGGGGTTTTGGGCTTTGGGGTGTACGGCCTCTCATGCGGTGTTTTCACTTTCTCGACATGTTGTCCTCTTTGAAAGTCTTTGCTTTGACTTTATGCGTTGGCCACTACATCCCATCAGTCTCACAGGTTCCATCACTACATCCCGTTTGCTAGTAGAAGGGGAGCATGTGGCATTTTTCTTAGTGACAACAACTACAGTAACCACGATGTCAACAACGTCAATAACAACAGTTGCAACATCGCTGGTTGTTTCTGGGCTTGTGCATCCAAATGTAGTGTTTTCTGGGTTTGGAGAGCAGGTGATTCTGGATTGAAATATTATGTCTTGATCTGAGGCGGTTATGAAGTTTTTCAATGTGTCTGTCCTTGGCAAAAGAGTGGTGATTCTCCAGATCTTGTAAAAGTAGAGATCTTGCAGTTGTAAGGCAGGTGTTGTACAAAGCTGGTATAAAGTATAAAGATTCTCAAGAGATCTTGACGAGAGATTCTGTTGGTATCTTGGCAGGTTCACCTTGTATCCGGTTGTCATCTAACTGCACGCGTTCGTGTCATCGCTCCTTTTCTTGGCATTATATGCCAGGCAATCTTGATAAAGCAACTACTAATTGTCCTAGATGTGCTTTCACGGCTTCAACTATTTACATGTCTTCATGGCACAGACTGAGGTTTTGAAAGAGACTTTCATTCATCCCAAGCCGTCGAAAATAGTCCTTGATGAAGTTCAAAGGTGCCCCTCTGAAGCGATCCACGCACACGCGTTGCGGCCCCTGGACTCTCCAAAGATCCCGGACAAAACCCAAGGTCGTGTGGACCTCGAAGTTGCTTTGGGTGCAAGGGATATCAGGAATTGCTTGCAGAAATCCACCACAAATGGGAACTCCATGAAAAGCAAGATGAGCATGAGGTACCATCAAGGCAAAGTGAGTCTTGGAGCGATTCCGAAGTTTCCAAGTCAAAGACTGCCAGGCATCCTTATCCCGTGCTGTATGGAATGAACGTATTGTTGCAGGCAAGGTGAAGACAGACGTGGCAAATTTCCTCGCACATATTGTGATCAAATCGTTGTAGAAGAACACACTGTTGTTCACCGATGTGACTACCACAGCAGGGTCCTCGTGCCCCAAATAAGGTGCAAAGTCTGGCCGCAGCACGAGTATGTGTTGAAACCGGTGTCCTGTCAGCCATTCATAACGCAACAAACGATCAAAAGCTATGACCTGAGCACGAAACTGGTTGTTCTGTCCACCTTCTCCTGGCAATTTTGCTTCTACTGCCAGCATTTCTCGGAGTGTTGGGTTTTGAATATGCCCACGCGCCACCTGCCAAGTGCAAGAACCTTCCACAAAAACTGCATCCCATGTCACATTGAGATTCTCCAAACATTCTCGCAGCTCGTCGATCGTGAATTGGGACCAGACCTGGCTGTTTCAGTCTTGAAGCCTCCCTATCCTTCCTTATTCCACATTCTTCGTGATTACTAAAGGAAAGGTTGCCTGCCAAAGGCCCCTTATATACTGGAGATGATGAGCACACAAAATAGTTGGTAGGGGGTACCGGGGTACAGTAATTGGAGAGTAAGTGAAGTTGAATGTGCATCACAGGCGGGAACGCCTCTTGTGCGGCGACCCTTCCGAACGACACCCTCACAAAAATGAAACAAATGAATAGGATTATATATAGAATGGATCAGATCTGCGGAAAATCGAAAAACTGAGAAATGAAACTAGCTTGAATGTCTTGCCTTTGGGAGGGTTGGAAGCAAAGGTTCGATCTTCTGCCTGCAACCCCCACAGAAATCTCAAATACAGGAGTTTTGAGACAGCGCAACTCTCGCCTGGTCTTTCCTCTGTGGCAAGCCCGTCAGAGAGACTTTTTGCTTCGAAATGGTGGTCAAAACGGCAAAGAGGACCAAATCTCTGTTGAAGCGAGCCAAAAAGAGTCGCCAGTACTCGTTCATGAGTTTGCTAACAAAGGACCTAGTCATGCCTGCAAGAATAATTGCAAAACGACCATGGCGATGACGAGGCAAAGCTGGCAAAGCTGCTGATTCGCCAGGAAGCAGGAAGTCCTTGGAGCAGTTGCAGTCCATGCCTGCACACCTGGGCACCTCAAGTTCCCTACACTGAAACGTCTTCTCTCGACAGCTCGCGTTGCAATCCATGGAAAAATTGATGCCAGATTCCACTTGCGCGATACCTTTGGCATCCAACAGTGGAGGATTCCAAGGCAAACCCAACTTTCTTGGAGGCTCTTGCAAGGCAGTGGGTATTCTCCGTACTTCGGTCTGCCGCACCACCAGAGCAGCAGACAACAGGAAAAGGCCCGGTATCGCCACTGCGACGGCCGAAATCACCAGACGCTTGGCAAGCCATGGCTCGCAGTGACCCCGACTATGCATAAGCCAAGGATCCTTCAGGGATCCTCAATCTACAAGGAACACAATGTTGGAATGCCCTTGGACTCCTGGTGCTCAGAACATGTTGGAGAGGGTTGTCGCTTGGACTGTGTCTCAACCCGACTCACCTCACACATAGAACCCACCATTGTGATCGCCTTTCATTCTCCCCAGCCAAGGCTACAAACACCACCGTGTTGGTTTCAAAAAGAAGTCCCTAAGACGACGAAACTTGCTTGTGCTTGAGACGTACTTCCAGCTTACGAAAAAACACTGCGTTTGTCTTGAACTGGTGTCACTTCATTTTCCTGACACAAATTCGTGGGCAACATGCCTCCAATCAAACAATGTAGCATAGATGCTCCAGAAATTCTGAGTGGACCGAGATGGGGTCGGTGGTTGATTTGTCATCGGCAAAAAAGGACAACGATGGTGATATAGCTCCTTGTCGCTGTGTCAACAATATCTTCCAGATCTGTACACCATTATGAAGAAAATCGGAAAGTCCAAAGGACCAAACAAACAAAAGACATACTAAAGAAGACATACTAAAGACAGCACGCGCTTTCGCTTTTCTCGGCTCCACAATATGCGCCTCACTCATCTGCTTTCTCATCAAATGATGGGCCTCCAATCTGCATCCTTTGACTCCTCTCTCAGCCATGGCCCATGCTGTGTCAAAGCGGCCAAACGTCAAGCACAAATCGAAGAGATGCGCTGGGTTTGCCCAGTGGGAAGGCACCGGCACAGGTTGGCTCAGAAGCTCTGCGCGGCCTTCCAGCAACGCCTGGGCTATCTGGAATTCCTTCACTCCAAGAACAGTCTCTGGGGAATGGCTGTAGCAAACAAAATCCACCACTACATCCATCCTTCATGGACTCTGGAAAACACTGGATTTCGGCGCCCACCTACCTTGTTCTGAGATGAACAGCGAGCCCATGCAACCAGCACCAAAATTCCAGGTGTGACGAGTGTTCAACACCTATCAAACAAGCTCAAAACTTCCTTGACCCCACAATATGATACCCATTGAAGCGCAACTGGACACCAGGCCAGGCCTCAACGGCCGTTAGGACACTCACTCCATCATCGTCCAAAACGATCAATAGGCTAGTTGGTGGCAGGTTGCAAGTGGTGTCTGCCGCGAAGTAGGCAGGTTTGTGGCAGCTTTGGGGACAATGGGAGGTTGTGGGCAAAGATCCTGTCCAAGAGCTCTTGAAGCTTGCCCCTTCATGTTTTTAAGGCTTCCTCACTTCCAAAACAAGATGGAGCCCACGAACCCGAATGCAAACACGTTCAAAAAGCTACATATGTCCAAATGACACTCTTGTAGGACACTC